CTTGGGTGAGGGGAGGTGGGCAGGTGTAGAAGTACTCTCTCTGCCTCTCCTGCTGCAGGTGTGCTTCATCGGCCGAAGCAATGTGGGGAAATCATCTTTAATCCGGGCGTTGTTTTCACTGTCTCCAGAAGTGGAGGTCAGAGTGTCAAAAACTCCGGTAAGTGACATTTATAACTTCCCTCCCTCTTGGTCGGAAGCTGGCACTAACCCCGAGGATAGGGCTGAGAAGGGCGGGAGGAAACGTCCTCTTGGGTAACTTGAAGCGGCCGGAGAACGAGCCAGCCGTGGTGGCTGCCAGCTCAAGGCTGGCCGTGGTGGCTGCCAGCTCATGGCTGGTGCAGGCCTTGCTCTAGCAAAGGAAAAGGTGGAAAGAGCCCTGCTTAGCTCCTCAGCCAGGGCTAGCCCACGCAACAGAAGAGTCATACAAGATGCACAGATGTGCCGTGAAGTCCTTTGGGAAGAACCAAGAACAGAGACCGGGGAAGGTATTTTTAGTCTGTTTTAAGGATAGAGCCACATAGGATTGCTACAGGGGTAGGAGACTAGGCAGCTTAAAGCAACAGTAGCATTTTTGCAGCCTTCTCTGGGGTGAGAAAGGTGCCCAGCAATGTTTTTGCAGGGCAGCTTCTAGTCCACTGCTTAAAGCAACTTTTTAAAACCACTCCCTTCCTTAATCTTGCCTAAATCCTCTCCCCAGGGCCACACCAAGAAGATGAATTTCTTCAAAGTAGGGAAGTACTTTACTCTGGTGGATATGCCAGGATACGGCTACCGTGCCCCGCAAGACTTTGTGGAGATGGTGGAGGCCTATCTGCAGGAACGGTGCAAGTAAGGGACTAAACTGTATCTCCAGGGAGCAATGAAAGCCAGACACCTATATACAGTGTCATGTAGTTAGGTAAAAAAATGCAGGAGGGGTAGCTGCTTCCAGTGGTAGTATTGATTAGTTCTGACGTCATTTCCCTGGGAACTTCTGTGATGTCACTCATTCATGCTTAGACAGATCAAATCAGCAGAAAAGATTGAGGTGCTGCTCCATGCTGACCCTCCGCTCCCACGCATGGCTTTGCTTGGCTTTTCCTGTCCCCAGATCCCGTGTTACTTGTTCTTGCTTATGAATTTGGAAGTAGCAGAGCAGGCATGAAATAAATAGTGGTGGTGATTACTGTTGCTTGTATTTCTGGCAGCCTGAAGAGGACTTTTCTCTTAGTTGATGGTGTAGTAGGACTGCAGAAAACAGATCATATTGCAGTAGAGATGCTGGAAGAGTTTGGGATTCCTTATGTGGTAGGTAGTGCTTTGTTCTTGTGTTGGTTATAAGCTACAGGTGCTCTATAAAGGTGTGTGCCCTCTACCTGAGCTTATGCAAGTTGTGCTACCTAAGTAGCAACCCCCTCACCTTTATTGTTAATAAAAGAGGCCTAAAATGTGTTGAGGGGGGCAAGTGGGATTTAAGGGATTTTTTGCTTAATTTATTAAGTGGATGCTTTTTTTTCAGTGCTCAGCTTGAGGAGCTTGAAAAGGGCCACTCCTTATGCAGGCTATAGAAGTGTTTTGGTGAACTGTATTATCCCATTTTCCCCACTAGCTATGACCCAGAGCTTTCGGCCTGCCTTGCAAGGTGGTCCAGGACTCTTAGAGATGTTCCAGGCTAGCAGCAAAATAATCTTCTTCTTTTAATCCTCCCTTTCTGGATCCACACAGATGGTGTTAACAAAAATTGACCGAGCTTCCAGGGGACTGTTGTTAAAGAACGTACTGGAGATCCAGGAGTTTGTAAAGGAGAAAACTCAGGGATGCTTTCCTCAGCTATTCCTGGTCAGGTACAGCCCTTCTCCATTGCTGCCGTTTCCTTTCAGGTGATGATTTCAATAGGGCAAACTACCTGAAATGGCTCTGACTGCTCTCAAGGTGGCACTTCTCTGTGCCCCAAGGAGGGAGGGTGGGCTGCTGATGGCGAAGCGCCCCTTTCCTTCTTCCTCCTCCTCTGCAAGTGAGTGGAGTTCCATTTGCAAGGTTGCTTCTTCCTTGGCCCGTTCTCCGAGGCGGGCAGCAGTCCCTGTGCCATGTGCTCATGGGCTTTCCCATTCTCTTTGGAGTTGCGTTAACAGCAGCAAGCTGTCATTGTTCGATGGCGTAGCTGAAGCGCTTACTCTTACCAAGGTTGTACTGCACCCTGGGAAATGTAATTTAACACAGCCGGTGGCTGAGTTTGCTTGCATTACGCCAAGACACAGGAGTATCCGGCACTGAGCATCCACGCCTTTGTTTCCACAGTTCTCTGGAGTTTTCAGGGGTTCACTTGCTAAGGTGTTTTGTAGCCCACGTTACTGGAAACCTGCCTACTGTAGAGACAGCTGAAAAGATTGGCTCCTGATCTGCTCGGCTCATCCCAAATAAAAGGTACCAAAACCAGGGGTCTAGATTTTTGTTGTAAATAGTCCGAGGTAGTAGAATTTATTTTTGGATAAACTTGTATAAGTTTCTGGACAAAACTTGTAAGGCTGAGCTTTTTGCTTAATAAATTCATCAATTCAGGAAGTTTGTACTATGAATGTATCTAGGTTATTATAAAACTGTTTTATAAAACCTACATGATTGTGCTAAGGAGAAAAAAAGCAAAAGAGATCCTCCAAAGAGAAGCCAAGTTTTAATACAGCATTTCCTCTCCTTCTACCAAAATGTTCAAAAAGCTACCACTGCATGCGTAAGCTCTGCTCTATTTAGGATACTAGAGAGAGTCTAGCAATCTCATTACTGAAAAGGCATTTAGTTTAGAAAAGAAAAGCTAGAGCCCTAATGTTAATGAAATTGTACTTGCCCAGTTGACCTGAATGATACCCAGAGGTTTACCTCTCTCAGCTTCTGTAGCAGGGGCCAAAACCGAGCACCTGTGCGACCTGCCTGCTTTAAGGTGCTCTAGAGTGGACCTAGCCAACGTGGTGCCTGGGAAGGCGTGTTTAGGGCTTCTTGCATGTTTTACTTTTGTAATCCTTCTGCATTGTGCATTCAGTAGGTGCAGCGTGATGGCACACCTTGCTCACGTACATCGCATTGTCCCTCTTCCAGGTGGGTGAAGCAAAGGACACATCTTTAATGGGGTCCACTTTTTGATCGCTGTTGGCTTGAAAGAGAGTGGAATAAAAGACTGGCATCTAGGGGAACTCTCTCCTTCTGCACTTTATCACAGTCAGTGCTACAGCTACCTTCTGCTTTAAATCCAGCATGGAGCTCTGCGGCTGCACTCGGATGAATGGCCAGAGACACATTGTCCATAACCTGCATCGTTGTAGGACAAGAGGAAATGGTCTCAAGTTGCACCAGGGGAGGTTCAGGTTGGATATCAGGAAGAACTTCTTCACTGTAAGGGTCATTAAGCATTGGAACGGGCTCCCCAGGGTGGTGGTGGAGTCCCCATCCCTGGAGGTGTTCAAAAAACGTTTAGATGTGGCACTTCGAGACATGGTTTAGTGGGCATGGTGGTGTCAGGTAGACAGTTGGACTTGGTGATCTTTGAGGTCTCTTCCAACCATAACAATTCTATGATCTGTTCTACCCTGGGAGCTGAAGCACAATACTGATGTCCTGCACTCTTTAGGGGCCCTGCAGCAGCTCACAGACCTGTCTGGCTAGGAGCACCTGAAGCTGTCCAGTTATGAGGTATGGAATCGGACAAAAGGACGGCCACCAATAGCAGTAGCTGTGCAGGAGAACTTGGACCAAAGCTATTCAGTGCTTGTGTCAAACTCTGGCACTCAGTCTTGTCAGGTCTTAACATTGCCAAATGTGGGTATGCAGCCGTCAAAGTTACTTACGTTAAGTGTTTAAACCTCAAGAAAGGGCAGTTCTTTTGTAAACCGCAGTGAGGGTGAGAAGGTGGTAATTTAGTGGGGTTTTTTTGTTAGGGAATTCCTTGTAACTCTTACACTAGGCAAGAGGTGAGGTGTCTTTTCAGCATACATGTGAGGGGTGTGAGGAATGCAATAGAAATACATGGATCTCTAGCTTCCATATCTTAGCAGAGATCAAACCTGTAATTCTCTTAATATTTTGCCCTTAATCCCAAAATGCTCCAGAGAAAACCAGCCCATGGCATGTTTCCCCCTAGGGGAAAGTGCAGCGGTATCTAGACAGATGGAGTGGGTGCAAGTGAACACTTCAGGAATAATGCCTTTTCTTAGTATCTTAAAACCAGGATATTCCAAAAGTGTCAATCTTGTCAAGGCTGTAATATTCAAGGCCTCAGCCTTGACTGAAAAGCCTCTGAAAATAAGCCTGTATATGTAAAAAAAGCGCAGTTCTGTTTTTAGTCCCTCCTCAGAACAAAACCCCTTATAATACTAGGAAGTCTTTTATTAAAACCACTTAAATACATTAAGTATGTCTGATAAATCCATTTGTATACAAAATGCTTTGAAAAGGCAGCAGGCTGTGAATTGGGGCCCCATGATCCTTGCATGTCTGTACAGTTGCCTTGAGGTGTCCTTAGTGGAAGCCGTGTGGAGCTAGGTCATCTGTTTTCCAACAGCTGTACTAGAAACAGTAGGTACAGTCTGATCCTGAAGAACCAGCTTTACCTCTGGACACATCTGTTTCCTGCTGTGTTGGTCAAAAGATCTTCCTTTGCAAGTGCTTCAAATACAGGAACAACTCTTGCATTTTGTTCAGCCATCTGCAGCAGAGACCACCACAGTTTGTTACGCTCAAGAATCAGTGCCCCTGCGACAGGTAAGATAGTAAATAAAATCACAGTCCTCTCCTTTGCTTAAACATTAAAACTTACATTCAAGTGCCTTCATGGGAACATGCTTTGGGTAAACAGTGTTGGACACACTAGCAGACTTCCTTGCTAAGTTCTTAAGGAACATAAGGTGTTGCAGAGTGAGGAACTGCACTTTCTCAGGCCAGGGACACAAAAGCTCTCCCCTTCTTTTTCCCCACTCGTTGATCAGTGGTGGGCCTGGCAGCATACTGAAGCAGTAGAGATCATTTCGGTTTTAAATGCTTTTGATGCCTTAAATTGTTCGCAGTGCATACACCACACTGCAGGCCCCCAGCATTACCTTGTACAGCTTTGCCTCTTCTGCACCTGCTATTTACAGAAATGGAGTACTAGCTTCTACAGAAAAGCATTTCACCTTGTGCATCTTCTCAGGTCTTTCAGCAGTGCTTTCTCCTTTTTCTTCCTCTTCGTGTCTGTCTGTCACCACAGCCCTGGCACTACAAAGCCAGTATTTTTCTAATAGTCCCCTAGAGTATGCATTTTAGTAGGGACCTTGACCAATTACTACCTCAATAATTCTATTCAATATTAATGAAGTAACCTAAACAGGTTTTTTGGGTTATTTTAAAAAGCAGAGTTTCTTGTTTGTTTGTTTTTAAGCAGGTAGACATTTCAGATTTAGCCTCCGAGGCACTTACACAGAGAGGCAACATGCGCTAAGACAGAAAGAGCTCTGTTTACTGTCACTTTGCAGTTGTTTCAGTGTTGCCTTCTTTCACTCATTATCTTGTCAAAAGTCTTGCTCCTTGGGCTCACCATTGTTTTCATACGGTGCTCAGAACTAGGATGTGGTAGTAGCTCTTTGGTACAGCGTGAAACAAATTTTGGATGCCAAACAGAACATGCCAAGTGTTGAATACAGACAATTCATTTTGCATTAAGTGAGGTGGCTGCCTGCGAGAAACAAAATACTGCTCTCTCAACCATCAAAGTCTGGCAAGAGAGGAAACAGAATTTTAGCAGCAACTGATGTTTCCAGTCTGTATTGCTGGCTAATCCTACTCATGCTTGAGATTACTTTAGTACCTGCTTATCCCAGCTATCACATGATACTGTATTTTCTGCAGAAATTGTAGCTTTTTCTGTGCAAGCAGGGACAAACCCAAGGAGACATAAAGCTTCTTACATCCCCTCTCCTGCTTAAGTGTTTTGGAAACAGAGTAAGACCAGAACCTGTTTACAGAAGAGGCAAAGGAAGGAGGAATAAGTTGTGGATTTCTTCCCTATGCTACAAACCGGGCACACAATGAGGAAAGGAACAGAACTAAGAAAAGGCAAACTGATATTACATTACATCCCAAAATAAAAATGACTAGTTAATAAATTGAGAGGTGTGACTTACCTCTGCAGCCCTCTGTGTGAGAAGCCAGCGTCCCCACAACAGGCTATAACCAGTCCTGTAACTTCCTTTTATTCTCACCTGATGCATTCACAGCCAGTTGATATCTAGAAGCCCCACCAATAAAAGGTAAAGTGAACATCCCATCCCTTCCTCACCTGCACGAGTGATTTTAATACTGGGTTTGGAAACTGCAATTTGATCTGCTCCTAAGAACTAGCCATAGCATTAAGCTTGTATGCACAACTTTAACACTAATTTAACACTGTCCAAGCAGTTGTTAAATACTTGATCTCTTAACTACTTGAGATCTAACTAGTCTACTTTTAAGCGTCTGTTACATAAGCACAGAAATCTGTGTTGCTTAATAAGGTAATTACTGAGCAGCCATCAGCTGTTCAGATAACCATACAGCAGTTTTTTTCAGGTAACTTCGTTCACATTTTTGTATTCTAATAAACTGCAATGGCATTTGTGCACCTTGTGGCACGTTTGCAAAGTTTATACAAGATAATAAATCCACCAGTTGCACAGACGTAGCTACTTAAACCAGTATTTTCTCTGAAAAACATTGAGAATGATGGAGAACATACTATACCAGTAAGTAGTAAGGGAGGGGTGGGGGGCAGGGAATAAATCTTAGTGCCCTTCGTGCTTAATGCTGTTCCCCGAGAAGTTACTCTCCACTGGTTCTTGGGTGATGAATACAGCACTGCTGGACTGTGGCCCTCGCCCCCAGTGCAAGCACAGAAGGTGGTGGTTTGGGATGGCACCAGCCCCGAGCTCTACCAGGGAAGGCTGTTTAGACTCGGACACGGAAAGGCACAGTACTCACTTCTCTTGAGTTCATTCCTTGGGATCCTTCAGTGCTCCATCAGTCTCTGACTCTCCCACATGTTTGTTTCTCCAGTGTATGCACCTCAGCTGCACCTTTTCCTTCTTCCTCTTCAGCTTCCTAGAAAAAAAACCTTTGTTCAAACTTAACTTAGCAAGGCGTTTATGACACTAGAAGAGTGAGCCTCCTACTGGAGACTTAATGGATTTTTCTTTACAAAGAAAAATTACAAAGACAAAATTTTTTCTTAAACCAAAAACTGACAAAGGCACAAGAAACTTGTATTTCTCAAGCATCAGCAAAACTAGCTTAACAGCTCACAGCAATTTATGAGGGATGTAAGCTACGGTACAATTCAGAAGTACTATTTAACAGGTCAAAACAAATGCACTCAGATCAAGACCCACGTAGTTTCAGTAGGACTTGAGAACCACAGCTGCCTTTGTGCTCAAACATAATAAAAAACATTGTGCTGATATTTAGAGATTCTTTTTCTTCCAAAAAAAATAGGTGTGGGAAACCTGGTACTCAGCCCCCAATTACAAGAGACATTTTGGAAATTCTAGAAACTGATGATGGAAAAAATACAGAACAATACTGTTCCCTTGCAAACCTTGGGGAGGAGCTGGCAGGTAGGTCTGCAAATAAGCCAAACACGACAACAGTTTGCACACTGTCAGAAGGTATGGCTGACAGTTTTGGCCCATAGTAGCCAGGGTTCAGGCGGCCAAAGTATTTACAACATTCAGGATAAAGAAATAGTTCTGAACAATTTTTAAAGACCATTCTAATAAATATTTCTTTTATTCACTCCTTTGTGGCTCCCCAGCATGACTTCCAAAGCCTAAGACATCTGTTCTAAACCTAGTACTCTAAAGTAGTAGGTCCAAGAACTTCAACAACAATATTAAAAGTACAGTAAGCAACTTAAAGATAATGCAATAAAAATAACAATACACTTTTTTTTTACAGTACTAAAGATTTAAATGTTAAAGGTTCTTTAAAGACATTAAGAAACACTAGCAGGTGTCCAAGCTGATGAGGACAAAGGTGTCCAAGCTGACGAGGACAAGGCCTGTCCAAGGCTTAGATGTTCAATTACAAAGAAACACAGTTCTTGCAGCTCCAGGTGGGAACAAGTTAAACAGCATGGTGCACAGGCCCTTCTTTTATAACCTAGCTGAAAAGAGCATTACTTACGCAACTC